ACCAGAAGAGGAAGGAAAGAGAAAGCAAACCACCATGTCCAGGATGCCATGTGTGTGCTTAGCACCTCAACCAACATGCCACCTCCCAGCCCCTACCTAGACTCTATCCTTTAGAGATACCCATTATTATTCATCCACTGAAATAGAGAAAGTACATATCCTCTTTTTCTAGAAATACACTCATTTCTAAAAATGCAATACTGTATTTCTTTAAAATTTTATGTTTTGTTGGGATATATGTATAGTCAACACTGTCTTAGATCTTCCTGTATCAGTATATAGTTACCACATCTCTTTAACTTCCACAAAGTATTTTATAGTATATCGGTATTCTAGGTTAATCCCCTAACTTATTATTTTCTAATTAATATTATGAGTAGTGCTACTATATTTTCAACAAGCTATACCAATTTACTGAAATAGCTCTTACAAGTGTCACTAATTATCGGTCTTCATCTTAGATGATTCTGTGTTACCTCACAATTCTTGTCTCCTGGTAGTATATTAGTTTATGATAGATGGTTCTATACCTAAGCTATTTCTCAATTTGAATAGTCTCCCTTATTCTCAGCTATAACTGACTAAGCCATGACAAATCTTTCTCTAACCAGCAATCTAGCAAGTTAGTATCACTGGGGAAACTACCAGTTCTGTGCTAGAGTTTCTTTTCAAACGTTCCTAGGTGGTGATGATGTAGAGGCAAGACTGAAACCATTAATTTGGTTGTTTAATCTTTTTAAAATACAGTATATGGTTTTTTTCCCTCTTCAAAGTTTATATACAATAAATTTCACCTTTTATGTTTTGACAGATGCCTACTTGTGAAACACTACAGGATATATTGGGTTGTCAGAAAAGTCCTTACTTTTTTTTTTTTTTCAAAAATGCATCATGACTTTTCTGACAACCCAATAAAACAATGTCTCTTCAGAAAATTCGGTGCCTCTCTGTAGTTAGTCTCTACCTGCAGGCAACCACTGTGATGTTTCTTGTTCCTTAGCTTTTACTTTTCCATAATGTCACAGAAATGAAGTCTCACAGTAAGTAGCCTACTGAAGTTAGTGCCTTTCAATAATGTATTTGAGATATCTATGTTGACTGTATCAGTAGTTCTTTTTTTTTAGGAGAGGCTTTTGCTATAGGGTGCATGCACTCACTGGAGAGACAGAGACAGAAAGCAAGAAATCACTCCCCGGGGGAATGGCCCCGCTGCAATCCATTCTCCTTTTGGGATTTGGGGCACACACACACACACGCACCCAGCATGAGTTTTAAGCTACCAGGTCTGGGACTCAAACCGCTGTCAACTGCATGGGAGTCCAGTGACGTAACCATTACACCACCTGCTGGTCCCAGTAATTCCTTTTTATTGTCAACTAGTACTCCATTGTCTAGATACACTGCGAACTTGTTTATCCATTAACCAGTTAAAGGACATGTGAGTTTTCTTCTTTTTGGCAGTTAGAAATAAAGTCACTATAAACATTTATGCACATATTTTTGTATAAATACAAGTTTTCATTTCTTGGATAAACACCTAGAAATGAGATTACTGATTGTATGGTATGGGTATGTTCAACTTTAGAAGAAACTGCCAGACTATTCCGGAATGGCTATACCATTTTGCATTCTCACTAGCAATACATAAAAGTTGTAGCAGTTCCATCTTGTTGCCAGAACTTGTCGTTTAGATTTTAGCCACTCTAATAGACATGTAATAGATGAAGAATGTTCAGATCTTTTGCCAACTCCCATTTGGTAGTATGTTTTCCTGTTGAATTTTGAGAATTCTTTATATACTGTACATACATAAATCCTTTATCAGAGATGTATAAATATTTTCTCACAATCTGTGACTTATTCTTTTTATTCTTTCAATGGTATCTTCTGAAGAGTAGAAATAATTTTGGTGGCATACAGTTTATCAGGCTTTTATGGGTTACACATTCTTAAAAGAATTATTTTATTAAACTTTATTTATTTATTTAAATTTGACCAGAGAGAGGGAGACAGAGAAAGTGAGAAAGCAAGCCGCCGGGTCCAGGACTTGAACTACGGTCAGCCATGTGGGAGTCCAGCGCCCTTAATCATGCCACCTGCTGGCCCCTGGATTATACTTTTGATGTCTCTGAGAAATTTTCTGTAACACATGGTCATCTAGATATTCTGTTCTTTCTTCTAGACATTTTGTATTTTCAGGTTTTATATTTAGGTTTATAATTCATTTTGAGTTTTTATATATGAGGCAGGGTATGGGTACAAGTTTCTTATTTTGGTATATGGATATCCAGGCGTTTCAGCATCATCTATTGAAAAGGCTATCCTCTCCTGACCAAATGCCTCTGTACCTTTGGTGAAAATTCATTGACCATATACACAGTTCTAGTCCTAGCCTTTGCTGTGTACAGTTGATCTTCACATCTGTAATTGTACCAGCACCACAACTGTCTTAATTACTGAACCTTTCTGATAAGCCTTGAAACCACTGTATCTTCCAATATTTTCAAAATTGTTTTAGCTATTTATTTAGTTCCTCTGTTTTTCCATATGCATTTTAGAATTATTTAATTTATACAAATAATTTTGCTGAAATTTTGGCTGTTATTGAGTTGAACTTATAGATCCATTGGGAGAAAAGTGATACCCTGTTTTCTAGCTCATGAATATGGTATTTCTCTATTTTCTGTCTTTAGTTTCTTTCAACAAGGTTTTGTTGTTTTCAGGATACACATCTTAAACATCTTTTGTCAGACTTACCCCTAATGTTTATGTTTTTTTAATGCTAATTATAGTGTTTACAAAATTTACTTATGGGGGCCAGCAGGTGGTATGGTGGTAAAGCCACTGGACTCCCACATGACTGACCACAGTTCAAGTCCTGGACCTGACGGCATGCTTTCTCTCTCTCCCTCTCTGTGTCTCACTCTGGTCAAAATAAAATTTAAAAATAAATAAATAAATAAAATAAAATAAAGGAAATAATTCTTTTAAAAATTTACTTGTAATTTTTATTGCTATAGTATATAGAAATAAACTTTTTGGAAGTTTTTTGTTGTTTTGTTTTGTTTTGCTATAGGGTGCCTGTGCTCACCAGAAAGACAGAGACAGAGAGATATAAAGCAAGAAATCACCCCCCCAGAGGGGATGGTCACTCCACAATCCATTCTCTTCTTGGGATCCTGGGGACATATGCACAGACACCGAGTGTGAGTTTAAGCCACTGGGTCCAGGACTCAAACCGCAGTCGACTACATGGGAGTCCAGTGACATAGCTATTATGCCAACTGCTGGTCCCAACTTTTGTATATTGTGTAAAAACTTTCCTAATTTTATTAGTTCTTGTAAAATTCTTTGTGATTTTTCCATGTAGATAATCCAGTTTTATATGCCTCCTTTATCTTGCTCAATCGTACATGCTAGGACCAACAGTTACAATGCTGAACAGGAGCAGTAAGGTAGACATGCTTGCCTTATTTCTAATCTTAAAGTAAAGGCATTCAGTCTTATACTATTAAGCATAATGTCATCTGTAGATTTTTTTATTATTATTATATATATATATTTTTTATTATCTGTAGATTTTTTGATAAATGTCAACCATCTACTTCAGGATTTTCCCTGAGAGTTTTTATATAAATGACTGCTGGATTTTGTCAAATGTTTCCTTTAGCTACTATATCATCTTTACTTTTTTGGAAGAGTTTGTATAGAATTGTCATTATTGGGACCAGCAGATGGCGTAACGGCTACATTCTTGGACTCCCATGTAGTCGACTGCAGTTCAAGTCCTGGACCCGGTGGCTTAAACTCACGGCAGGCATGTGTGTGTGTATGCACCCAAGATCCCTAGAGGAGAATGCGGGAGAAGGGGTTGAGGCGTGGTCCTCCCCCGGGGGGTGATTTCTCGCTTTCTATCTCTGTTTCTCACTGCGTTTCCGGCTAATGTACGCACCCTATAGCAAAAACCTCTTCAAACAAACAAAAACAAAAAACTAAAACAGAATTGCCATTATTTCTTCCCTATAATGTTTGGTAGAATTTACCAATACAGTCATCTAGGCCTACAGTTTTCTTTGAAGTGAGGTTTTTAAAATATAAATTCTATCTCTTTTAAAATTTATATATATAGGGCTATTTGGACTACCATTGGGGTGAATTACTTCAGGTCTATCAAGGAATTTGTTCAGTTCATCTACTGTCATTTATTGATGTGAAGTTGTTTTTTACCCCTCATACTTTTATTGTAACATGCCATTTCTGCCCTTTCCCTGATTATTCTGCAGAGATTTATCATTTTAAAAAATTTTCTCCCCAAGGGGACCGGCAAGTGGCATGGTGGTTAAGGCGCTGGACACTCCCACATGGCTGACCATGGTTCGAGTCTCGGACCTGGTGGCTTGCTTTCTCACTTTCCTCTCTCTCTCTTTTTTTTTCTCTCTCTCTCTCTGTGTGTGTGTGTGTGTGTTTCTGGTCAAATTAAACTGAATGAATGAATAAATGAAATTGAATAAAATTTTTTAAAAATGTTCTCCCTCCCCCAAAAAGATTTTGATTGCATTGATTTGTCTATTTTTCCACTTTCCATTTCAACAATTCCTGCTCTCTAATTTCTTAAGCTGAAATCTTAGGTCATTAATTTAAGACCTTTCTTTTGCAATACAAATGTTTTGTGTTACAAATAAAAAAAGGATAGGACCAGCAGTTGGCGTAATGGCTATGTCGCTGGACTCCCATGTAGTCGACCACAGTTTGAGTATCAGACTCGGTGGCTTAAACTCACACTGGGCGCATGTGCATGAGTGCCCAAGATCCTGAGAGGAGAATGGAGGAGAAGGAATTGTGGTATGGCCATCTCCCTGAAGGGTGACTTCTCACTTTCTGTCTCTGTCTCTCTCTGTCTTTCTGAGAGTGCACGTGCCCTAAAGCAAAAACCTCTCCTAAAAAAGGAAAGAAAATTAAAATTTTACAAACAGAATAAAGAACTAAAACTTACAGATTTACTGCAGAATGTTCAAAAATGTACAAATCGGAAAGGTGTAAACAGAAATAAATCCAGGTACTTCACCCTGTTTCCAGCCCTAATGTTTCTTCAAAAAAGTTAAGCCAAACCAACCCTGATTTTTTTCTCCAATGAAACTTACCAGTCACTGTTCTGTGGTAGCTCCCATCACTCTAGTAGTGCTTGGATTTATCCTGTTTTTGGATCATAAATATTTTGGAGTTAAATGGCCATGATTTATGTTAGGCTCACCTTTGAGGGACTGTTGCTAAAGTAGTAGAAAATCTTTTCTCGAGGAGAAAGCATTGCTTCATTTTTATGTGGGGAAATGTAGACAGGATGGTTTTGAGACAACTGTATTCGCCGAGGGGAGCCTGTTCTTACAAATGGATAGGGAGACAGTGGAGGAGCATCCATCTGTTTAAAACAAAAAAAAAAGTTCTAAGAAAAAAATTTCAAATTCGATACTTTTATTAAAAATGGTTATTTTTAAGAGAGATAGTTTTATGACTGGTAAATAGTAATATATTAGCAACAAATAAGCCTAAAGAAAGTCATAATAGGAAACATTTTTAAGTGCCTAGTTTTGCCAGTGACTGTTAGTAGCATTTTTTTAAGTACATGTATCATTTAATCCTCACAATAACCTTCTAAGCTAGGAACTATTATTCTTTTTAGATATACGAAGAAATGAGGCATAGAGGAAGGTCACTATTAATGGGTAGAATGAACAATCTGAGCCCATGTAGACTATCTCTTATACTTCTATACTTTTTGTAGGGAATCCAAATACAACCTTACCCTGTTTAATCTTTCTATTTTTTGAGAGGATTTTGCTATAGGGCACTTCGCTCGCCAGAAAGAGAGAGACAGAAAGCGAGAAATCACCCCCAAGGGGGATGGCCACACCGCAATCCCTTCTCCTCCATTCTCCTCTCGGGATCTTGGGCACACACACACACACACACACACACACACACACACACACGTGTCTAGCATGAGTTTAACCACTGGGTCCAGGACTCAAACGGTGGTCGACTACATGGGAGTTCAGCAACATAGCCATTACGTTAACTGATGGTCCCATTCTTGTTTAATCTTAACAATAATAGAAATTATGTGGGTTGGGCAACTTTTGTGAGTGACTTCCTTAGTTTTACTAGAACAGTTTTTTGGTAATACTAGTTTGTATATGAAACAACTCAAATGTAAGTTATTTCACATCTTTCACAAATGAAAAAGATACAAAATCATCTCTGTCAAACTTACTACATTTGCCTGTGAGTACTTCATGGCAAATGTTTGGATTTGTTTTATATAGATGTTGTTGTAGAACTGAATGAGGTCTCCCCTCTCTTCCTCTTCCATGTCACTGTTGGCACCTGTGAGACGAGTAGGTGTAGGAGGAGCACTGCTAGGCTGTGGAACTGGCAAAGTGCTGCTTGATCTCATGACAGGACTGGAGTCTCTGCTGGCTGCTGTTGGTAGAACAAAGGGTGTTAACCATAAGACTGCTAGTACAGACTGTTTTTTAAAAATATTTAATTTGGGGGCTGGCAAGTAGCATGGTGGTTAATGGTGCTGGAGTCCCACATGGCTGACCAAGGTTCGGGTCCCAGACTGCGGGACTGGTGGCTTGCTTTTCCTCTCTCACTCTGTCTCTCTCTGGTCAAATTTAAATCAATCAATCAATCAATCAAACAATGTTAAATAAATGAATTCTTTTAAAAATTATTTAATTTTACTTATTATTTAAAAAATTTGTCATTGGCACCTGCACTCCCAAGCAAGGTGGGCGAAGGGGAGAGGGACAGAAAGTGAGAAAGCAAGCTGCCAGGTCTGGACTCAAATCCTGGTTGGCCATGTGGGAGTCCAGCACTTTTAACTGCCATTTCCGTTGCTGGCCTCCCTAGTTCAGACTTCAAAAGAAAACTCAGTAGAAAAAGCTGAATAGCTATCCTGCACTATCTGTTAATGGTAGCAGCTGGAGATCCCTGTTCTTTATACTAATAAGCAGAACTTACACCATTAATAAATACACTGACATTAATAAACATACTCCCTTGCCATTACCAAGGACTTACTAAGTAATTTATATCAAGATAAGTCACAGCAGAGCCAGCAAATGGCATACTGGTTAAGGTACTGGATTCCCACATGGCTGACTGCAGTTTGAGTCCTGAACCTGGTGACTTGCTTTCTCCCCTTCTCTGTCTGTCTCTGGTAAGTACACATGCCTTATAGCAAATTTAAAAATAATAATAAAATCAAATAATTCTTTAAAAAAAAAAAGTCACAGCAAGTTTTTAGGACCTGAGCCTTGCGTTAAGTGGTGCAAACCAACAATTAGGAATAGCATTTCCATAGCATGGCTCCAGTTGATATGCCAGACTTGTCTGGAACTCAGGCCAACTACAGATTCCTGCCTGAAAGCTTCTCTAATTCTCCTGGGGAAAAAAATGTTATGCACTATGTACCTCAAAGCTATGGAATGAGGGACAACTTTGCCACTAAATTTAGCATTTGGTTTACTGTTCCAACAAATCCTTTCCTAACAAAACACGTTCATAGCCTCTATAATAGTTGTTTCATTTAGTAATCCTTAGTCTTAGTCAGGCCTAAGAAAATGAAGAAATCCCAATTTTGTTTGGTAAGAATTTATAAAGATCCTACTTACTTCTATCTTTGTTTAGTTCTGTTGGTGAATTCTGATGGCTTCTATCGCTGCTAGCAGAATTTCTTCTTTTTCTTTTCCCTTTTATCAAAACACTTCTATACACCTTTAGAAAGACAGAGAGAAAGGGACAGAAGTTAGTATTTATTGAGTGTGTCCTCGATGATAAGATGCTGGCATATTCCTTGATTCTCACGACAACTCCTTTTAGTAACTGTTGTCTTCAGGGGAGGTCTTAAGAAACGCAGCCAAGGTCATACAAGTATTGAATAACAGATACAGGATTTATAGCAGAGTCTGTCTAGATTCAAATTCCAAGTACTAACCATAGCACTATAGAGCATAATAGTACCCAGCCAAAAAATAAAGTCATTATAGGTCAAATACAAACATCTAGTGCACCTGCCTTTCCTAGACTGAGACTTGAATTTTCATTTAACACTGTATCGTCTAAGTGTTTACTAAATCAGACTAAAAGGGGATATGGAAACCAAGTAACTTCCTAAATTGCATCAATACTGTGATTCTCTGATTTAAGGCAAATATTTCACATCATGGTGTTTAGAGGAAAAGAGGATTTAATCAATACGTGAAGTTTTCTGTCAATGACTAAAGATTATAGTAGAGACTTCCCTTAAAACAGAGTTCAACTTGTTTATCCTGGAAAAAAGGCCACAGATCAACTATGGTTAGTGTTTTGTATTAATGACAGACTTGAAGCTTTATTTTCAGTCCTGAGAGAAAATGTAGTTACCTGGCTCCGGGCCTGCGGCTGAGTCCTGTAACAACGCATAATATTCTGGAAGGACTTGTCTTCTTTTGTGACCTGGCAAGAGTAAGCGTACTCTGAGAAGAGAGATCAAATTCTAGTATAGTAGTGTGAGAAGTTTCATGAACCTGATCTCCAGTGAAAATTACATTAAAAAAACCCTACCACTTGAGTCTCTGGCAATGGTCTAGATAAATTTAAGAAAGTAAAGGAATGAATAAAAACAAATTAAATTAAAAAAATAAAATCTTAAAAAAAAATGTCCTGAGTAATGTAGATCACATTTCTGCCTATGCCTTTCCAGTTCCAGATGGTACTCACCTTTGCCATCACATAAATGGCACACATTAACAACTGGTCCAGATGTCTATCCATCATAAGCTCAGGACACTGAATTATGGAGAATTCAAAGCAGGTCCAGATTTTTTTCCTTAGTTCATCTGAAATATCTAGTTTAGCACAAAGATCTCGAAGGCGGACACCCGCTAAGTGGTAAACCTAATAGATAAGACAAAAAAATATCTCAAACCCTATTGAACATATTTCCCAAACTCATACTCTGATAAGAGTGTAGGAAGACTTACCTTTCTAAAGAAAAGTGATAAAGAACTGGTCTTCCTGGGTCTAATATTGCTGCTGGTTAAAGGCTGGCCTTGTTTCTGTTGTTGTCCACCTGGAGAAATCTGTTGAATGGTCACCTGACCAGGAACTTGTAAGGTTGTTCCTGCCACTTGTTGAGAGCTCAGACTTCCAGTCAGGGCCTGAGCATTGAGAGGCTGGATGGAGCCAGTCACAGCTTGTGCCTGTCCCCCAACATTGACCTGCACTGGGAAGAATGTTATTCCTCCATTTTCATTGGCAATACCTAATTTGTTAAAGAGGAAAGACAAGCATGAAGAAAATGTTGAAAATACAAGGTTCTCCAGGCAGAGGTTTCCAATTTCTCCCCTTCCCACCCCCAACTCCCCATCACTCCTCTGGTCCCATTTTGTCACTCTAGCCAAACCTCAAGTAACTTTCTAATACAAGTCACAGAGAAAGAAATCAATATCCATCTGCCTTCCTTACCTTGTACAGGAATGGTCACTGTTTGTCCATTGTTGGCTGTGACAGTGGCTGTTGCCATGGTGACCAAGGTCTGTCCAGGAACTGGTGTGACAGAAACAGCCTCCCCAGATACATTCTGCACAGGGACAGCATTGACTAGAGGCTGTGCGGGAATGCGCCCAGGTGTTCCTCCATCAGAGGGACTATCATCAACAAATAGCCGCCTTCTGGTAGTACTGGCTGTTGGGGAGCTGTATCTGTCATATAATGTGGTTGGAGACGTTATGCCTAGGGTCACAACAAATCAAACGAACTACTTAATTCAAAGAAACTGAAATCTGATTTACATCAAACCTGCTCTGTTTAAAAATACCTAGTGTTTGATGGGACCAGCAGTTGGCGTAATGGCTATGTTGCTGGACTTCCATGAATTTATTCTTTGGCAAATAAGTTTCTAGTGCTCTCCACCCTTTTAAAAATAACTTTAAAAATTATCTTAATTCCGGGACCAGCAGATGGCATAATGGTTATATCACTGGACTCCCACATAGTCTACCACAGTTTGAGTCCAGAACCCGGCAACTTAAAACTCATGCTGAGCACTTGTGCATATGTGTGCTCAAAATCCCAAGAGGAGAATGTAGGAGAAGGGATTTCGGTGTTACCATCCTCCCTGGGGAGTGATTTCTCACTTTCTGTCTCTATCTCACTCTATCTCTCCAGCAAGCACATAGACCCTATAGCAAAAATCTCTCTAAAAAAAAAAAAAACCTTGGGACCAACAGTTAGCGTAATGGCTATGTCTCTGGACTCCCACGTAGTCGACCGCGGTTCGCATCCCAAACCCAGTGGCTTAAAACTCACGCCAAGGGTGTGTGCATGCGTGCCCAAGATCCCGAGAGGAGAATGGAGAAGACGGGATTGCAGCGTGGCCATGCCCCCTGGGAATGTCTCTCTGTCTCTTTCTGTCTTTCTGGCAAGTGCATGTGCTCTATAGCAAAAACCTCTCAAAAAAAAAAAACCTTGAAATCATTCATAATTTAAAAAGTGAACAAAAATTACAGAAGTCACGTACCTACATTCAAAAACTGAAAATTCAACTGAACACTAACAAGAGAAAAGTTTAAAATTTATTCATGATCAAGTGCTTGCAGTGCATGAGAGAGAGAGAGAGGCAACCTCCTTAAGGCTTGTCAACACAGTGATCCTCCTCCAGTCTGCCAGGATCCTGGGTATACCTGCTTGTGCCCAGCATGTTTTTGGGTCAACCAGTCTGGGAACTCCCAACTATGGTCAGCATGTAGCTTCCAGCTCTGCAGCCTTGTACATTAATGGCTGTGCCACAGGCTGATCTAAGAGCAAAATTATAAAAAGGAATTTGTCTCTATTTGTTTTGCAGTGATCCCTTCTCCATTCTATATTTTCTTAAATTTATCTAGACTGTTCTCCATCACTACAAGGATTTCATGATTTACGGACAATTTAAGGAATTAGTTCATTTTCCTGTAATTTTTTTTAAAAAAACATATTCAACTTCTGCCTAACACTCACGTAAAATGTAACTTCACGGGACCAGCAGTTAGCGTAATGGCTATGTCACTGGACTCCCATGTAGTTGACAGTGGTTTGAGTCCCGGAACTGGGGGCTTAAACTCACACTGGGCGCTGTGTGTGTGCATGCCCAAGATTCTGAGAGGATAATGAAGGACAAGGGATTGTGGTGTGATCATCCCCCTGGCGTGTGATTTCTCACTTTCTATCTCTCTGTCAAGCGCACACACACTATAACAAAAACCTCTCAAAAAAAAAAAAA